TCGTGCAGTATTCAGTGGCATCATCCTAAATGACTTTGGCCAGGTTACCTGAAGGGTTGTCTTCCCCTGAATAGACATAGCCTGTATATTACAGGCTTAAGAACATAGGAAAAACCATGCTGGACCAAACCAATGGTCCATCAAGTATAGCACTCTGGACATACTGTGGCAAAGCAGCAGTCCACAGGATCTTTCAAGCAGGATGGGTGCAAGACTTCCACCTGCCCAAACTCCTCAGCAACTGGTCCGTGCAGTCATGCCACCTCCGGTAACAGAGGTAGCACAGAGCAGCAAGGTTAGTAGCTACGGACAGCCTCCTCCTCCCTGAACTTGTCCAATCCCCTTTCATGGCCATCCAAATAGGTGGTCATCACCACTTCCCATGGCAGTTAATTCCAACGTTTAACTATACTTGTGTAAAGAAGAACTTCCTTTCATCTGCCCTAAAGTGCCCACCAATCATGGGATGACTCTGGGTTCTAGTATTAGGGGAAATGGACAAAAATGTCTCCCTCTCCAATGTCTCCCTTATGGTTAGTGCATAAATATCATATTCAATAGTCCTTCTTCAGCAGCCCTTCCCAAAGAAAGTAGGGTGAGCAGGTACTAACAAGGGAACTGTGTTATGATACCCAGTTGTGGAATGAACTTCCAGGGGTGTGCTTCTGACACCCACATCAGCAAAACAGCTTTTAAAAAATACAGGCATTTCAGGCTAGTGTTTGTTGTTGTTGTTTCCAATTTCTGATATAAATATGGTACTGTATTTTAATTCTTTACAGTGTTCCAGTGTTCTAGTTAATTGTTCTTTTTAGACTATTCAGTAGTTATAAATGTTTATATTAAAGCATGTTGTGTTCTGCTTTGTGGCTTTAGTTCTTGTGAACCACCCTGAGTGTTTCAGCTCTTGGCCATAATGGAAATATACGAAAGACAGAGATAGCACCAGCAGAGCTCCAACAGACATTCCATTTGCACAAGCACTACTGGAGCATATTGTGCTGGTCAAGCCATGTGCACAACTGATTGCACAGCTGCTTACACAATCTGGCACACAAAGATAACGTTAGTGGCACTGCCCCTTTGCACATGGTCTGGAACCCAGTTTCCTAGGCTCCTTGCCATTGAATTCCATGTGCTGAATCTTCTCTGCAGCAAAGCCTTGTTCAGGTTCTGCTAGGAAACAGGAGTGGACAGATCAGGGCACATGCGTTCAGGCATTTATTTGTGCAGTAGGTGGAAAGCTTGAGAACCTGAGATTCACTCCCAAGCATCCTCTAGCCTGTCCCCCTCTAGAAATTTTTGCCTATGACACCCCTCCTGTACAGACAACATGGCCAATGATCAGGGATGGAGTAAGCCAAGCTGGACCAGACAAATGCATATCAAAATGATCCACTAGGGCTAAATGAATGGGTCATAATAATATATTACAGCAACTATGTGTCATTCAGAAGTTGCATTTCCAAAAAAATATCAAAGTCTAAACTTCATGATCTTATGCCTGCCAGGGTCTTGAACAGGTGAGTGTCCCAGCTCCCTCCAGATACTTTTGGGTTACATCTCCCATGAGCCCCAGGAAGCATTGCCAATGGACCATTGGAGTTGCCCTCCCAATGCTTTTGAACTACACCAGGTGCCTACATCTACCTCACTCCATTGGCCCTTAATCATTAGGAAAAGCTATAGGAGTGGATAGACTACCTGTCATTCATTCAATGGAGCAGAAGAAACAAAGAAGCCCTCTTTGAGTGGTCCATGGAAAGTTATGCCAAAGTATGTTTTCTAGATTTAGAGGTGCCACAAGTTTCTTGGCTGTTTTAGTTTGAACAAGCTAACAGGGACACCCCTCAGGAATACTAATTAATGGATCAGTCAGAGTAACTTTTGTGCTTGTCAAATGTAAATTCAAAACTATTGAACTAACAGTTCTTATTTAGGGGATTTAATTTCCGCATCAACCCACTCCGAATTTCCAGTGACAGTCTGCCAAATAAATGGTGATTCATTAACAGAGCAAGCCAGCAAATGGCAACTTCCCTTACAATGCAGTCACAGGCACAAATGTAACTTGGCAGAATCTCTCTGCTATGAATGTGGACAATAATTAGTATGGCGGAACAGAGTTCATACTTGCTTCGCAAAGGTCTTGGACTTGTTTGAATCCCTCTTTGGCTTAGTAATCCAAATATTTAAATCAGCTTTCTTATTTAATTCAATATTTCAGGCAGAATCCCCCTGACAGGCATGTAAAATGCATGCTTTCAGGTTGCTTATAAGCCGTAAAACAATGCCTATGGCAGCCAATTACAGAGATGAAGATCAGCACTGACCTGAGGCAGTACTTTGGAGCAAGATGTTTGCCTTTGCAAATGGGTGGGTGCACTGGGGGCAGGTATCTCCAATGCCAGAGGGTTTTAATGTGAGTTTTAGGCTGGACTTTTAAAGAGCTGCCCCTTATAAACCCAATCCCCAAACTAGATTCAGCACTGTGGAGAGCTCCTTGAAAGATCGGACTGAAGCCTAGTGTGGCTATTCTGCCCTACTGGCATGGAAGACACGAATCTTCACTGAGTGCAGCTTTCCTGTTTTATGTACTATTATGTGTTTGTTTATTTATTTGGCAACAATAATTCTCTCTCTCTCTCTCTGTGCATACACACATGACAAAGAGAAGAGAGGGAGATAGCGCGCTTATACAGATTAGAAGGGAGGGACAAGGCCCTAGCCTGAAGGGAAGGGAGATGCAGTAAACAGGGAAGCAGTTGGAAAAAGTTCCAATTATATGTGTTTCAGTTTGGTTACAGGTAAGACAGCAATTCTATCCATGCTCACCTGGGAGGAAGTGTCATCCCACAAAATCTTTCTTTCTACATATTTAGATGTATGGACTGCATTTTTCTTTCCAACCATAGATGTTCAAAGCAGTTAAAGAAAGCCTATGAAACACACCCGAAACAACAAAACAGTCTGGTGAAAGCTAAAAACAGCATAAAAGGGAAGCGAAAAGAAAGCCAGAGCTAAAAAGCAGTAAGATTCAAACCCTGAAGGAAAAGCAATGTCTTCAAACGGTGGTGGAAAACAGGCAAAAAGGAAGGTATTTCAATTCAGGCTTCCCAGCCTGTACCATCCAGACATGTTGGAATGTTACCCCCACAATGTGGAATGTGGAAATTGCACAGCCAATGTGACAACGCTTTAAACATGACAAGATCACAAAGAAATGCACTACTGATGGTTGAAGCCCCATCAGTGAGGATGATAAAGGATAAACTGGACATGCACATGGTAGGCATGCCATGAGCAGAGTCGGCTGGAGCCAGGGGTCAGACTAGATGTCCCAGGAGGCCCTTTCTCACTCTCTCTGTTCCTCTATTTCCTTAGGTAGTATATAAAAAGTTAATGCATCTCCTCCTAGGGCTGATTCATACCTTCAGCATTCTCACTTTTGGCTACAAATATCTGCACACATGTTGGACCAATTTAGGACTTCTCCTGCATCTGTCACAGTGTAACGTGATCTTCAGCTATGCTCCATTGAATGTTTACGGTGCAATCCTATGCACATTTGGGCAGAAACAGTCCTGCAACCCCCAGGAGGGGATGGGGAAGGCATCATATTGTATGACTCTTTCATCTCGTTTGATACTCATTGGATCGCACAAGAACACTGTCCAGATTTTGTGCACACACCATGATAATTAAACAATGATAATAAAAGCTGCCCTTCCATTGGTACTGCCTGCCCACTGCTTCATGCCATGACATGCCAACAATCAAATATGTTCAATGACCAGTTGTCATTTTTTAAAATTGTTATTCTTTACTTAGCATATTTATAACCTTCCTTGTTTCCTTCCATGGAACTCAAGGTGCCTTACATAATTCTCCTCATCCTCTCAGTCTTATCCTCGCAATACCCTGTGAGGTAGGATTGAACGAGCGTCTGTGACTGGCTCAGAGTCACAGATTTCTCAATCCCTAATTGCACTGTCTTAACCACTATACCACACTGCATGTTTGGACTAGTAAGCATTTTCCAACAGGAATGAAAGTTCAGAGAAGCTCTGATTCTGTTAATGAGTGGATAACGGAACAAAAGATGCCTGACATGCTGCAAAAAGCAGACAAAGCAGATTTAACTAAGTCCGTACATCCTTAATAGTACCACTGACTGTGCTTTTTAAAGGGAGAACTAACACTCTGCTCAGGTTTATGGGTCAATAAAGTCTTAATTATCCTGATAACACAATAGACTATAGAGATGAGGAAATGTGCAATACATTTTACAGATTGGTAGAAACTGAAATCATGGATACCCATTCAGAATTCAGGGATGGGAGGATTTGCAGTTTGTTTGGGAAAAGTAGTGGAATGCTTTCTGCAAAGACAGGATGAGGCAGATTCATTTGGTGTGCATTTTTATATGACTGTATTAACTTTGAACCTACTTAGGAGTCAAAAATCACTTATCCTTCCAAGTCCACACTTACCCACATTTTAATGGCATTCTCCAGTCATAAAACACAGAACATTAGAAACACATTGCATTAGAAAAATGTGTACAATGAACGTGCTCTGAAGAAATGTCTTGGTTCCCTGTTTTTAGGGCTTGTGCCAACAAGGCAATACTTCGCTTATATTATCTCAGAGATCAGCGAAGAGTTCTGCATGTTAGCACCTGCACTAGCACGAGAACGTTCAAGCTTTCCCCAAAACTCTCTGATGAGAGCTAAGAGGTAAGAGAAGGGTTTCTCTTGCTAGTGTACTACAGGAGATCCCTGCAGTGCTCTGCATTTTTGCTTCGCTTCCCTTTGGCAGTCGTGGGTGATGCAGGAAGTCTGGCAGACTAGCAGAAGCATACTTTTCATCTAAAATTTTAACAGTTTCAAAACTTCCAAAAGAATTCAGTATGCCAAGATATAAAATGTGAGTCAATCTGAATTGTCACATCATCTCTACATTATGCATCACAAGAGATCTCATAAGATGATTCTCACCTTTTTAACCTCGGTTGCCAGTTGCTGAAGGGAAGGTGAAGCTATGGATTGCAAGATTGCTTTGCCTCTCACTGGGTCATGGAGACTCACATACGCCACCGCATTCTTCTGGAGAACTTTCTTGAGGTCCTAAATGCAAACAATCATGATTACTAAGCCAGATCACATTCAGAATTGCATTCTTATTTTTCCCCCTTGAAAGGGGAAAAAATGCAAGCCATGTTTTTTAGCCAGTCTAATTCCCTAACTAATACTTTACTCAATTTCCCAGAATATCATTTTAGGAACTTCAGAGGAAGTATTTATTTATTTTTCTCCTGTGGGATTATAATTCCTTTCTGGTACCATGTGAAGAAAATGCAAAATGGGGCCTGAAGGAATTAAGAATTACTATGGTTCTAGTGCCGAGAATAAAAAGATTACAGATTTTGAAATAGCAGGAAGGAAGCCTTTTCATTGTAAACTTGCTCCTGACAGGGACCAAACTTCAAATGTAAACATTAACAAACATTCAAAACAGCTGACGTTTCAAACCATGCAACCATATTTTAGATCTGAATTGCATCATTTCAACAGTATTGTCATTTTATTATGTTTTTAAAAGCAAACAGATCTGCATGAACTTCATCTCAATTATTCCCCATGTGCCTTTCCGGTAATGAGCTACTTGTTTCATGAAGAGGCTCTTTATACTGAGCAGAAGGGGTGTAACACAATTATGTTTGATGTAAGAATGATTTGAAGTGGAACTAAATAAATTTTGCTTCCAGTCACTTGCAAAGGCCCTTTTTGATGCTTCATCTATACCCCCCATGGCTTATTCTAAAATCATAATTCCATTGCAAGAAAGACACTTTGGTAATGTTTGTGTGCCACTGGCATACACAATCCTGCGAAAATCACACATTCCCCATTTAACTATCAGTTCAACAGTTAGACTTAATTATGGGTGGCACCCCTCTCAAACTCACCCACTGGAATTTCACAGCTAGGGATGGATGGTGCAGGTTATTTTCAGCATAATTCATAAATCCATTCCACCCTGCTACTGCGCTACCGCATCAATATGATGTTGGTTTGTGCTTTGAAAACGTGTTTTTATATTTTTTTTCATAGAATGTGCATTTTTTTACTTTTATCCTAAAATATGCATGCATTTCAGTGCCCTTTCTCAGGCAGAAAGATGTACTGCCTGTTTTGGAAAAAGGCAGACACTGAAGGCGAGCCATTATGAGCTGAAGTCTGGGTAGTGCAGAGCAGATCAGCTTGTTTAAACATGCAGGCTGATTGAGCTCCTGCAACACCCCTCCCCACCCCCCATCCCCATGCAGCCCAGCTGAAATAGCCCCTTTAGATTTGGGGGGGGGGATGTCATTGTTGCAAGAAAGTGAAAGCAACAAGTGCAAACAGAAAGAAAACACATGGGGTGGAAAGTAAACAGAAAACGGCACCCATTATTGATGGTAGAGTTTCCCCCCACTTCTGCTGGATTGATGAAGGTGGTCTGGAGAGAAGTGGGGGCAGATGCTATTCAGTCTCGCAGGTGGGCTCTCTTGAAAAAAGCGCCATCCTGTATCAAACCAAGAGTCCATCTAGACCAGCAATCTATAGACAAGTGGTGGCCACCGGCAGAACATAGTGCAACAAACAGCACCTGTCCATCCCTGTCCCCCAGCAACTCCGCTTGGGCATCCTATCTTTGGTACTAGAGGTAGCAACAGGACTGGTTGCCAGTGATAGCCTTCTTCTCCATGAATTTTGTCCAATTCTCTTTCAAAGCAATCTGAAGCGGTGGCCATCACTCAGTCTTGTGGAGTTGAATTCCATGGTTAACTACAAGCTGCATGAAGAAGTGCCTCCTTTTACCTGCCCTGAAATTCCCAGCATTCAACTACCTGGGATGAAGCAGGTTCTACTCTGATGAGGGGAGGGGACAGAACCAAAAAATTCTCACAACACTTTCCCCGTGCATACATGATTTGATGTGTCCCGGTCATGTCTCCCCTGACTTGTCCTTTTTCTAAGCTCAACAACCCCAGATGTTTTGAACTTTCCTTCTGGAGGAGCTGCTCCAGCTAGGAATATGCTGATGCTGGGAACTTCAGCCTATTGGAGCTCAACAGAGTTCCTGGACACTTCCATACGTGCAGCTACAAAAGTAAAACTGACATCTGGAAACAAATGCTCAGATGGTCGTGATATTAGATTAAAGTAGCTGCACCTTCTAAATTTCACTCCAAGTATTAAATGAACTTCAATTCATAACACAAACATGTAAATAAATAGCTGTTACCATTTCACTTCCAGCATTGCATGGGCTATACAGGCTAAACACACCATGGCCAGGTCAAAACACTGATGCCTCTGTTTGGATCCAGGGCACCCCAGTGCTCTGATGCAGTGTGCTGGTGCATCTTTCTCTTCTGTCTTCCCATGTCCCATCCATCTTTTCCCTCTGGCATACTTTGTTGTCTGATCTGACAGACAGCCATGTACCAATTAACCACCCACCCAGATTGTCCTTACTGATTATTTATCTAGTCCCCTGTATGTTGCTGATTGACTGAGAAATGCAGGGACTGCTACCAGATTGACAGATTGTCTCATTAACACTTCTTGTGCCCTCGGTGGATTCTAATGTACATCCTGAAAATTATTTTCATCTGATAGACTCAGCATTCTGTTGACTCTGCTTAGCTTTTGTTTGAAATGGAAAAACATTTTAATTGTCGACAAATTGGGGGAGGGAGATGCTGAAAGGCACGTCTGATTTATTTTGTGCATTGACGTAGACTAATAGCTGTGAGTTCTGAGTTCCTTGTACATGTTTTAGATGGCCCCTTTATCTAATTTAGCTTGTTTCTGCTTACCATGAATAAATACTATGTGTATGAAGAAAACTGACTGTGGGGTCATCATTGTATTCAAAGTAAACATATATTTTTACTGTTCTATGGGTGTGAATGGGCATCCTTTTGCTTTCATCCACCCCCAAAATGTGTGAAAACATGATCAGATCAAATGTTCCCAGCTTGCCCAAGCAGAAACCTCTGTATTTTATTCCATGTTTATTTTGTTTTAGACAAAACTTAAAGGTCATGGCAAACGTCAGTGACAACTCAGCCTAGGACTGGGCATGTTTGCACCTAACTGTAACTTATGCTCACAATTAACTTCTGAAGAGAAAGACATCACCTTTGCCATCTTCACAGCCTTGTTTTGTTTTGACTGCCCCCCAAATCTCCAGGCTTTATTTCTGGTGTGTGTGTGCGTGTGTGTGTGCATGGGAAATGGCTTGAGTGTCCCATTCTCCACTGGGTTCAGTCTGGAGAGACACACAGACAGAATGGGCAAGGCAAGCATCGCCTGATGCTGGGGATCCCAGGTTTTCTTGCATTTCATGTATTTATCCATTTGTTTATTTAATAACTAGATCAAGATACTGCTGAACACAGGTTAAAGGGTGATTATAAATGCCAGCATTTTCTTACCTCTGCCCATTCATAGGAGCCAATCTTGCCAAACAAGGTTTCTCCCCATGAGCAGAAAATTATGGTCCGATCAGGCCTCCAGCCTTTCTTTCCTTTCAGCATCAAGACTTGGATGAAGGCAGTCATCACAGCAGTGCCGTGAGCCCACTGCTGACTGCTGTAACCAAATAAACTGCTGTGGTGACTGCCAACTATAACATATCTATCTGAAAAAGAGCCAAATGAGCTTTGTTAATTAAGCAGCATGAGAAATCATCCTCCAAAACATTGTCTGCATCCATGAGATTTCCCATTCTTGCCAGCTGTGTAGCATCTGCTGTTCACCATGGAAATCAGCTGGGTTCAAGGGGAATTCCCATCAGAAATACCAGCTTCCTACCAGTTAAGCCCTAATTAGACTTTAGCCAGTTGGTACACCAATCCTAACACGAGATGCCAACGCATTTGCCTGCAGTACCAGTCTAACATTGCAGTTTATGGTGCAAAACACTATACAGAGGATCACTCATATGGAGACACCAAGGGCTGAGCAATTACTGGATCCATCTGAAACAAGATGAATTGGCTTAAGTGATTATATTTCAACTCACATTTTCCCTTCATTACTGCATCTGTGGAAGTGCACCCGGTAGTTTAGTCAGGATACATGTATTGTCTTCCCAGCATACACAGTAATCATGGTCTCCTGCTTTCTCTGTCCTAAAGATCTGCAGGCTCACTCAGGCATCCCATAGCCATGAGAAAGGGCAGGAACATCAAACTCATAAAGGAGCTTTGCTTCACCTGTGCCTTTTTGCCCAAGGCATAGCACCCAGCATGGATTTCAAAGCTCAGTAGGCTGTACAATTGCGCATGCTTGCTCCAAAGCTTTGCACTTGTGGTGGCCCTAGGAAGAGCACTAGGGTAGGGAAGCTGAGCAACATGTTTGAGCAAAGCAGTGCCCAGGTCCCACCTCACGTCAGCTGTGAATGCCGTAGGCAAGCCACACTCTGCAATGCAGTGCTCAGAAACCTGGCCAATTTCAGGGCTTTTGCAGGAATTGCCACCAGAGCCATCAGTGTGGCATAACCAAAAAGCACTTCCCTGCTCCAGCGATGAGTATGATGATTTATTTGATTTCTGTACTGCCCATCGTCAAAGATCTCTGCAAGTTTTGCAACAACACATAAAAGTAAAACAATAAAATACAAATCTTACAGAAACAAAGTATTAAAACGAATTCAAAACAACTAAAATAGACAGTAAAATTTATAAAATTGACAGCTATGCCCTGGGTAGCTGAGTGCATCTTTTAAAAATTTCAGCCTATAGGGCCCTCTTAAGCTGGTGTTGAAAAGCTGACAAATTTGTGACCAGGTGGGCCTCAATGGGGAGGTTGTTCCATAGAAGGGGGGATACACAAAGCCCTCCCCTTTGTTGCCACCCTCCAACCTTCCCTGACTGTTGGTACTCAGAGGAAGTTCCCAGAGGTTGAGTCTGGTGTCCAAGTAGATCACAGCTGGGAAAGGAGCTCTAAGAGGCAGTGAGATCACATATATAAATCTGGCCCCAAATATTTTACCAAAGCTCATACCTTCTTTGTGTGCCTGCTCAGAATGAAGTTTCGAATTTTGCTTCACACGCCATCCTCTAGTCTAGAGGTGCTAGGAGTGTACATGGATGCTGATTTCTCATGCCCGCAATATGGAGCAAGAGATGGCACGGAGGGTGAGAAATACATTTATATGTAAATTGGTTGCAATGTCCACCAGTTGTACTCATTACAGCTTACAGGGGTCACTATAGCACAAGAGACCTTCTAAGAGGATTCCATACTGGAAAAGTAACCCACTCCAGCATGCCACTTCCATGGATATAGCCAAATGCCTCCAGGCCAGAAATGAAACAAAATCGCACACTGCAACAACAACAAAAACAACTAGCACATTGCTATAGGGAAGGCAAAACCAACCCACACATGCGGAACATATTTCTTCCCTGCCCTGTCAGCAAGAGTCTAATATGCCCCCATAGCAAGGTAATAATAAGCCCTCAAAGGCTAAGGCAGGTCAAGGGGAAGTCATCCATGCCAATGCTGAAGCTTAAATAGCCCCCCTACTTAAAAGCTAGACATGGACCTGATAGGTCTCCTCACAGGCGTCCTTCAAAGTGCCTCCTCCAAGGACCAGCCAGCGAGGAGGACTGGCTCATGGAACAGAGCTGCAGTGCAGCTGAGTGGCAAACCAGTGCAGATTACCACCAGCTGTACAATATGGAGGGCTGCCTTCCTACAGGCACAATGCAGCACCATGGGTTTTTCTCTCCCACTGAGGCTGCTGAAGAGATTCTAAGTTGCATCTTGAGTTCTCCAAGCAGATCCTCCTTATTTAATAAACAGCTGCTTCATGAGAGCCTGTTGAATATCTGATGTTTATCTTCATCACATTGCTCCCCACTCCCCTTATAAGTTGCTTCGAGAGCAGCTTTTAAGGTGAAAGCAATGCAAAGCAGTGCATGCATTAAATAAATCACAGACACATATAGAACTTGGCAGCAGCAACCTAGCAATGAGGTATTCGACATGGAAATATCAAATGCTCTTTAAAAAGTATTTGGTTCTCTCAAAAGTCCCTCAGATTTTTCAGGAAAAATCAAATTGCCTTTACATTTCCCTTCAAGAAAATCATGGTGGCAACTGTAGTTTTAACGCACATCAAAAAGGAAGGAGTTAGAAAGGGTTTGCCTTTAATCAATCTGGTACATTTACAAGGAACCCTAACATTTGTGTCTGTCATGGTGCTTTGAGTTTTTAAGAACTGTTTAGTCTTTAAAAAGATGTATCTTTATCTCAAGTTATTCACCTATCCCTGCCAGCAACATGTTGACTGTGCCAGAAATGTCTGCACATTAAATTGTCTATGAAATGACATATTCCTCGGGGAAGAGGGTCACTGCAATTACTACTTCTGAACATTATTTAATTGAACTCATGGAGGCTGACTGACAAATTTCTACACAGAGAAGCGGTTTTCTAGCAACATTTATTTCCTCCTGTTGTATTACCAGGAGATGGTATTTTAGAAGACCCCAGATGCAATTGCATCAAACCTTTACTGGATGCATGCCGGAAAGCCATGTCCAGCACTGGAGGCCACCCTGCCTACAGCAGGCTGTGCGGGTAAAGGAGGAGGAAAGATAATCCCCATCCAGTTTCTCTAGGCCTTAGAATGTATCCGTGGGGGAGCTGGAAAGAGGGCTGGGACCAACTCTGGAGGGCTCAGAGAAATCTTAAGTAACCACTTCTTTCTTGCTTATCTGCTAGTTTTTTCTCTTCATTGCTTCATCTTCCATCAGAACTTCTCTATGGGAATGGGGGCATGGGGAAATCAGAAACTACTCATAGTGAAGAAGTAAGAGGTTACCTCTCGTCCTGATCCTTGACTTAATTGCCAATTGAAAAAAGAAACTGCCTCTACCAATTGGATCAACAGTCGTCCCACTATCTGCACCAAGACGATGATGATACCAAGATGATTCTGAGCAGCTCCTAGCAGAGCATGTTTGCATGCTTTGTGAGCAAATGTGAAATTCTCAGACATCCCTAAACTCAGGTGATGAATTCTGGGCCAGGTGGAGGAAAGGCTTCTCACTGCCAGAACAGGGGTAGTTAGCGCAGTTAGAACTAACAGTACCACCAAAGCTTGGAACGTATCAGCTGCTCAGATGAAATTGTCCAATTCAAAATGCCCACTTTTGTAATGAGTCCAGTGAACTTCATTAATAATAATAATAATAATAATAATAATAATTGATGCATTCCAAAATGGATTGATTATTTTTGGAGCGTGCACCCTTCTGCAGCAACACTTGGCCGTTTCTGCACGATGCTTGAGAAGTTTAACTTTTTTCTTCAGCACATCCGTTACTGTCTCCAAACCAATCAAAGTAAATGTTTGAGATGTGTACTTCCTTGGCGAACCAAGCATGCTGTAAGAAACAGCCATGTAGGTGAATATCCTCCCTGGTCAATTGTCCTCTCTCACTTGGTACACAGTTTCCTATTCAACTGATTGAACAAGGGCATTACATAGCCACCTAAGGGGCATATGGTGTAAGGATGCATGGGGCGATTCAAATGACAACTCCAAAATGCACTTGGATACTATGCATGCACAAAAATCATATATACAGGACAAGATCTTGGATTAACAGAGCACTCTTTATCACTTAGTTCATATAGATGAATTAGATGTTTACTGAGGAAATAACAGATTCTACTGGAGTAGAAATGAAAGTGCCCTCAGATATACATGATTGTTCTTAATTCACCTTGGTTCTGGTAGCAGGAATTTTGACCTAGGATTGGCCATTTGTCCAGGCACAGTAATGCCTAGCTGAAGGCACTATGTGAAGAAAACTAACTATCTTAGTAGGAATGTACCATGTACTTACTATGTAACATTCACTCAATGCATGTAAGTCCCCCAACTCAAAGGTGGGAGAGCTCGGGCTTCAGAGTCCTAGCTCTGTGATACTGGCATCTTAGAGCTGGGGGTCCAAAGAATCCTTTACCCTCTCAGGTGATGTCAGCAGGTTATGGAAGCACAGCAAAGAGCAATGGGAAAAGGGGAAGATGTGTGAAAGCTTACCGGGAAATGTAGCTCCTTTTAAATATCCAATAACATTGGACATTGTCTTATACGTTGGCTGAGACTGGACATTCAGAGTGATGATTGTTCTTTCTGCTAAGAGAAAGAGAAAGTACATATATTTGATATAATGAAAGGCCAACATTCCAAAGCCCTAAAAACATCCCATTGATTTATAAAAATACACCTCCTGGATTAGAAGATATTTTCTGCCCTCCAGTCTTTGTCGGTTAGTTTGTTGCACTCTTTTTGGTTAGGTTTTTAACTAAATAACAAAGTCCTACTTTTGTGGGCTGTGCTTTAGAATACAACATGCTAACAAAAAACATCAAATAAACAAATCAGAACTATCAGGATTTAATTAATTTACAAAGCAATCCTACAGCTGCTTGCACAGCATGGGGGGTGGCACACAGTATATGATCATTCAGATTCCCAGGTTTGAGGTCAGAAAGCTGCTCCAGGAGGGGGATAGATGTTCAGGTCCCCCTCCCAATGCCCCCCCCCCCACACAGCCTTTGGCAGAATGGCACCGGCTGATCCTCCAAGTTCTAACTGTCCAGCTGCTCCACACTGAGATGACCTTCACTGGGGAGCGTCTCTCGTTCTACATAGGATTCCCATAATCTTCCAAGCTTGGAGGGTTCTGCACATCCTCATATGGTTGTACTCTTAATGGCTGTTGAAGTTATCCGGAATTTATTTATTTATACAATGGAATTTTGTGTCACCCTTCCACTCAACTTGTGCTTGAGAAGACTTAAAATGTTGGCTGCACAATCCTATACATGTTTTGACAGAAAAGGTTCCTACATCTCCCAGCTTTATCCAGCTGGTGGTAGGGAACTTTATTCTACAATCTGCATAGGATTGTGCAGATCTTTGTTCTTCTGAATAGTTGGGCCAATTACATTAAGACCTAGGAAATATGGAACAGGAAAGGGGTGGACAGGAGATATTATTTGTTCCCTGTCCAAAGCACTGGCTGGAATTAGTGCTGTATATGCTGACCAATTTTACTTCCCTTCACCTTCTCAGTGTGCAGCACTTATGGAATGCAACCTTCCACTGGCCAAATGGATAACTTGCTTTTGAGGGCCTTAACCAGATTCAGTCCTTGGCTTCTTCAGGTGGTTTTGTTATCTGCTGTCAGGTTGCCTCCAACGTATGGCAACCTAGCAATGAATGGCCCCCAAAATGTCAAGTCCCTTGAAAATCCTGCACAGCACTTGTAAATTCAAGGCTGAGGCTTCCTTTACAGAATCGATCTACCTCATACTTGGTCTTCCTTTTCTTCTGCCTTCAACTTTCCTTGGATGATTGTGCTCCCCAGGAAGTCTTTCCTTCTCATGATATGCATGGCAGGCTCAGCTTTGTCCCTTTTCGTTTTGTTTTCAGGGCAAATTCTGGCTAGATTTGATCTAGGACCAATTTGTCCACCTATCTGTCAGTCCAGAGTACTTGCAAAGCTCACTTCCAGCACCACATTCCAAATGAACTAAATTTCTTCCCGTTGTACTTCTTCACTGTCTGAAACCCAGGAGAGCTGCTGCCAGCCAGTGTTGAGAAATGGTGGGCAGGGGAGAGACTGCTGACTGCTTCCAGTGTTCCTAAGGAAAATGGGATTGTATGGGAGTGCTCTAGGATCAAATGGCAACACCAACATTGACCTATAATGTTGCATGTTAGGATAGTTCCCCAAGACTAGATGATCTTGCTGCCACATCTTTGTTAACAATACCTTGCAAATTGCATGTTCAAATGTGGCGTTTTATGAGGCTTTTGCTAGCATTCCCTATATTCAAGGGTACAAGCTCACAATTTTAAAGCAATCTTAATTCTTCTACTGGATACTAGAGAATTTCCCAGGACTGTGCAGCACCAGCTATTTTCTTTGAAAGAAAACATTTCCTCAACAGCAAAATGGTTCCTGCATTTGTATGAATTGAGGCAAGCCACAAGATGTTGCAACATGGACCTTGCAGGATTCAAACCATTCTATTGGGTCCCTCTTTTCCACCTTCTGGTTTTGATGACAGCATCCCAAATCTGTCAAGTTCAGCCGGTCCATGTTGTTTGCTTCCTATTGAAGGCTTTTGGCACTTCTGCACATCTGTCAGTCCTCCCAAGGTGGCTGAACCCTCTGTCTTGTGCAGGGATGGTTCCACCTTGGCTACCTAAGCAATGGAACTGAGTACCTGAACACCAGGGACAGAAGAATCACATTCACATCAAGCAAATTGGACCCAAGGAATGCTCTGTGGAACAATTATTTTCTTCATAGCTTCAATGAGGATCTCTCTCCCTGTCCTTCCCCCCAGTCATTTCCTTCCTTGCTCTCCTTAAACAAGCATTCAGGAATGCTTAATTGGGGGCTACACTGCAACAAGGAAAATAACCTGTCTCTCTGTCTCTGTCAAAGGGACTTTCAAGTTCATGTTCCTAGCAGTTGACTAATGAGTTTGTTTTAAAATTAATTAAAACTAATGTCTTTTTTCCTTTACTTCTCAGGCTAAGAAAACAAATGGCCTCATTACACCCTGAAATGGAAGCAATAGCAAATAGACCTTTCTTTTTTGTTTCAGCAAAACGTTAATAATAATAAGATTCAATGGGAGCCATAATACTGTAGCAAGAACGTCAATAGCCTTAGTGGAGATTTTACCCGTGTGAAGATTTATTCTTCAGCATGGCGCATCCTGTGTACCAGAGAGGGCAAGGCAGAGCCGATCGATCTTGTGTACCAGACTGGTCTGTGTGCATGCCTGTGTGTGCGTGTGTGTGTATGCTAGAGACCCCCTCCCCGCAATTCCTCCAGTGTTTGAGGACCAAGCCAGTTTTCCTTGCACAACTGTCCAGTGGTGCATCTGACATGCTGTGACAAACAGGGAAGGAGATAGGGGGACCCTGAGAGGGCAGTGGCAAGATGGGAGGAGAGAGGAAGACCGGGACTGCAGGGGAGGAAAAGCAGGCCCAGCATTCTGTCTCACATATCCCTAACCCACTCCCTCTCTCTCACACACATACGCACACATACACTCACAAACCTCCCAAGTGATTTCTTTTCCCATGTCAGAAGCTGGGCACTGTGGGAGGAGAGGCCTCGCTCCACTGCGCAGTGCAGTAACATGTGGATTGTGCCCTTCCAGGTGGTGGGGCTTCCATAAGGAACAGGCCCTTGGCCAAGACTCTGTAGAATCTCTGAGGAGGTCTGGCAAAACTCTTTGGCCCACAGGGCAACACTTCTACCATAGGTAATGGCTTCCATTGTACAATTAGTTTCTCCAATGCTCAGCCAAAAATGTAATGCTATAAGATTCAGACTTGTCCCTCGGAGCCAGAAGAGAATGAGTCATTGCCTTCTGCCACATGCCAGCTATTTGGAAAGCATCCCCACACCCGCTTCCACCCCCGCACCACCACTATTATCTTCCCCAGACTAAACATGCCAAGGTTACTCATCCTTTCCTCACAGTCCTTTGTCCTCCATAACCCCACCAAATCTGTTGCCTTATCCTTCCAATGTATGTATATCTTTCTTTAAAAGGAGGTGCCCAAAACTAGCCAATATGGCACATCCTTTTCTCCAAAAGGAGACACATACAAAAGTGACAGATTTTGTATAGTCACAGGTGAAAGCACCCTAGGTCTATGAAGGTGGAACACGGCAAGGTTTGTTGAAGAGCAACTGGAGTTGATCAAACAAACAGAAAACCACCCACACCTTTGGCTTATCCAATATCTTAGGATGGGACTACATGTGATGGGAACACAAAGCTGCTAGAGAAAATTGGCAGGTCCATGTCAAGTCCTCCTCCAAATGACAATAGGGTATTCACTTTACCCCATAACATCATAATATTATGTGCTTCTCTCCACACCTGATGGGTGGAAGGGAAGCATGCTATCCTAGCAGGGGCCACTATATGGAGAGGACTGTAGTAGGGGACATGCTTTGCATGGAGAAGTTCTTTGCTTTGAGCCATAGCATCTCTAGGTGAGCTTATCAAGCATCTTGCCTGGACTGGTGCTGCCAGTCCATGTTGATGATAGTGAGTGAAACGGACCAATAGACTGACTCAGCGATGCGGGTGAAGGCGGCCATGGGCTACAGAAAGGAAGGAGGTCCCATTTTCAGTGCCAGCTTTATGTTTCCTTAATGTGTACTTCTCCCCTTAAATAGGAGATAATGAAGGAGAATGTTCTTCATTGTCAACTGACATCTTCCAGAATCAGAATAAAATGAATAGATGCATTGTACAGTAACATCAATGGATTTAAAGGTTTAGTGTGTCTAACAAAAGGCTGAAAAAGCTCTCAATGGGGTATGGAGAAGAAGTAAAATTTAATTTCCCTTAAACAGTTCTGACAACAAATCTCACTTTCGAACATTAGACGTCCGATGAAAGACTTTAAAGGTCTTGACAACTTTATCTCCTTCTACTATATGCTCTGGAAAGTGACAGGGAGACTTTGGCTTAATGCAGCTTGAAATATTCTCTAAACTTTATCTAAGCCATAAAGCTACTTCACAACTAAAAGAACAGAGAGGGATTACTGTTATCATTAATATTTCTAGCTTAGCTCCATCTTTCAGAGCCCTTTCACTTCAAAACCACGAGCCATAGCATAGCTAATGCATGTAATCTACACTGCCCCACAACTAGGGATGGATGGACCTGTCAATTTCTCAGGTTTTCCCAGTTAATCTTTTTTTGCATCTGGTTTATCTTGTTTCCATGTCAGTTTCAGTTTTTTTAAATATACATGAAAATTAATATGTGTTTTTGCATGCATGTCTCTTAAGGCTCACATTCGTGTATACAATTTTGCCTGGTTCATGAATTTTTGTGTGCACTTTCCCTTAATATATACACTTTTCTATGAATGTTTTGATTGGATAATTCTATCCAAAATTCAGAACAATGTGGATTATATGAAAGAGAAGAGACTCTGGCTTGAGGCACAGGTTGGAAAGTGCTAAATTGGTAAATAAAATTCTCCCCATCCCTACCTATCCCAGCGATCCAGACACTTGTGCAATAGCAACAGGAGATAAACTACATGGGAACATAAACCACATAGGAACAGTT